TTTTCACATTTTCATCTTCTTCTCAAGAGCCAATTTCAACCAAACTTGACACAAGGTATTCTTGGGTAAACGGGAATCATGTATGTTCAAGTGAAGGACCAAACTCTCTTCCAAAGGGAAATAATTATTAATTGAAAAATTAATGGTATCTTTTAAAAATATCTTCTCCAGAACCATTGAGCCAGAAAAAATGAAACTCACGTGGAAGCAACCGCAGGTAGTGTAGATTCAAATTTGTTCAAATCATAACCCCCGGGAGTAGGGCGGGGCCACAAAGTCTTATCAAAGTTTAACATAGGAATTTATAGGAAAAATCTTACAAAAATCTTCTCCAGAAGTATTTGGCCAGGAAAGATGAATATCACTTGGAAACATACACATAGGTAGTGTAGATTCAAGTTCCTTCAAATCATGACAATCGGGGCTAGGGCGGGGCCACAATTGGCTGATTAAAGATTTACATAGGAATATATAGAAAAAAATCTTCTCCAGAACCATTGGGCTAAGAAAGATGAAACTCATGTGGAAGGATCCTTAGGTAGTGTAGATTCAATTTTGTTTAAATCATGACCCTCGGGCGTAGGGCGGGGCCAGAATGGCTTGCTCAAGAACAGCAAAGTCATGGAATGCTTGGTGATATTTCCATGTATATCGAAGCATCCTCAGATATAAATGAAGAATGAAAGTTTTGCATAACAATCAGGGGTTCAAAATTTTTTTTGTCATGGTCAAGTCCAGGACTTGAAGAGTAAATTTTAGGCAAGTCCGAGGAAGAAATTTCAGAGTCCATATTTACCTATACATCATTAAATTTATGAAACTTATAATTGATTTTCATTAGTTGCATTGAATGAATAAAGACTATATGTATTAATATATGTTTTATTTTTCCTCCATAAACTGTCATATAGTCATACACGAGTATTTCAACACAATACCAGACTGATAGATTACTGGTACATTACAATAACTTTTACAAATACTCACTACTGAATAAACCATCTTTTACAATAAATAGAAATTAAAATGTGCTGTAAGTCACAGCTAAAACCGAAATTTAACAAACTCATTGCCATTTGTCATATAGGAGGAAACATGCGGAATTGCGTAAAAGCAAGAGTCTAACCGCAACAGAAAATAAAAAGACGGATTGTATTTTCGAAACGTTCGTAATGTTTTATGGGTATGTTAACGCCCACAAACCCACATTTTTACTTAATACATTTGAGAATTTGCTTTATTTTTAGCTTTACGATCATTTTTTTAACTTATAAAAAAAGATAAACAAGAAACATAGCCAAGTCCCAGGACTTTGGCGAATTCTAAATGCCGAGTCCGGATCCGGAAGTTGTTAGTCCGGGACGTCGGGCTTGAGGATTTTTGAACCCCTGACAATGTACATATATAGGAAAAAATCTTCTCCACAGAATAGAACAGTTTTGTTTAGTCAAATTTACTTGTTAGCATTTTAAGTATTGCAGATTTTAATTTATTCCAATAATGTCCCAGAGGGAGGTAGGGGTGTTGTAAATGAGTCAGAATGGATGATCAAGTAATATATTGGAGAAATTTTTAAAAATCTTTTTTTTCAAGTATAGCAGAATTATACATGATTGCTTTATTGATATATAAGTGTCATTCTCAAGGAATAGAAAATTCAAATTCCCCTTCTCACAACAAGGAAACATTTCAATATTGAGATAAAAAAGCATAAATTGTATACTTTATGTACGGAGAAAATTCAAATTGATTTTCATATACATACTTTAAAACAAGTCTTAAGATTTTCTTTGCGGTATGTATAAAAAAGTATGGGTTTTAATTACATATTGTGTATAGAAACCTCCATGCGTATCATTCTCTCACTTGCGAATGTATTTTCTCACTGTTACTCTTATCTACCCCTGGGTATAAGTAAGCAAGTAAGGTATAAGTAAGCAAAGTAAGCAATAAGTCATGCTGAGTGTATAGTTATGATAAGCAATGGTGCCTCTTTCAAAATTGTGAATTTCATGGCCTCTGGTTTAAAACACTAATCCAATTCAATTGGTGGAATGTTGTTACATTATACTCAGGTGACCTATAAGGCCCATGGGCCGCTTAATTGTTTAATCTATCGGTGTTCTTGGAATAAATGTGACTGCTCCGCGTCAATCGGATACTACTGCCGCTAAAATTTGGTCGCCCGGCAATTGGTTTAAATATGACCTTGAAATTCTTTACTGAAATTTCAAGAACCAAAATTTTATTTCAATTTCCCATGCCTTTGTAAGAATTTTGATAACAACATATATTTTTCAATTCTGGAGTAAAATGACATATCTTAACAGTTAACAGACATGATATATTACTGGACATATTTTAACTATGTACATATATACACATGGTATATTTTGATTAAAATGAACGCATCCCTAAACAAGAGGCACAGGGGCCACATCACTCACCGGAGCAACTAGCTAGGTATGAGTAAAAATCAATTCAGTAATGAAAAATGTGATCAGGGAGTGGGGTGGGGTGTTTGAACAAACTAAAATCTATACTACCTACGTTTGCTGTTAAATTAATCTGATACATAATGACTTTGCTGTTTATAAAATGAATTTTTTTTCTTGATAAACCTTCATTTAAATATGAACCAATTTGATGGATCCTGTGTTCTCCTGGTTGGTCATGATTTCCAAATAATGATGTATTCATATGTTAAACTTTGTTTCCTCATTGTGGGCGCACCTTACCCTTTGGGGTCATGATTTAAACAAACTTAAATCTACACTACCAGAGGATACTTCCATATAACTATGACCAATCATGGCTTTGCTGTTCTTGAGAAGAAAATTTTTAAAGAATCTCTTATGTTTTTCTATGTTAAACTTTGATACCCCATTCTGGCTCCACCCTACCCCCGGCGGTCATGATTTGAACAAAGTTGAATCTTCACTGCCAAAGGAAGTTTACATTTGAGTTTCATATTTCCTGGCCCAGTGGCTCTTGATGAGAAGATTTTTCCTACGTATTCCTATGTTAAACTTTGATCCCCCATTGTGGCACCGTCCTATGTCCGGGGGTCACGATTTGAACAAATTTAAATCTACACTACATAAGAATGCTTCCACATGAGTTTCAACATTTTAAAAGATTTTCCTATGTATTACTATGTGCAACTTTGATCCACCATTGTTGCCCCACCCTATGCCTGTATATAATGTTGCAGGTTTGGTTGAAATTTGCCCAGTCGTTCTTGAGAAGATAAAATATGAAAAGTTTACGACGACGCCGACAGACAAATTTTGATCAGAAAAGTTCACTTGAGCAAAAAGTATGTCACTAGCTCCCGATGTTAAATGAATTAAAAAGAAAACTTCAAATATGACTACTGTACGCATTGATATTCCGTAGAGTCAATTTATGAAAAATAATAACGGGAAAAAAATGGAATTATTCATGGGAGGGAACACACGTCAGGCAAAACTGCTTTTCCTGCAAACCCGTGTCCATCGTTTTTTCTATGACCATACACTACTAAACCGAACGCCGCATTCTTTGTCGATTCAACTCTTAACAGACCACCCTTTACTGGTAAAACAATCACGACAAAATCCATTTCCCAGAATGTTACTGGTGTATAGAATTTTCTGTCATTCAAGTGATGAATGATGCTCGTTTCGTTTAAGATCATGTTGTAAAGTGATTTTTCCTCAACTATTATAGCCACGTAACTTTCTCTGAAGTCTCCGGGAACCATCACGAGATATTTATCTGTATACTGTCTTATTCCTGGCACAGTAATTATGTAAGGGTCCCCCGTGTCGCTAGACCCAGTGGCAAAACTGGTTACCAAAACCGGCTTTTCTGAATCTATGACAACGACGTCTTTATCCGAGAATGTTATTTCAAAATGCTCAGTCGGCTTAAGTGTTTTGTTCTTTTGTTCGTTTCCAACTTTATATTTTAGACTGGTTTGGAAAGGCGACACAATTTTCAGGATTGTTCCCATTCTGTTAAAGTTAGATGGAACTATATACATTTTATCCAGTCTATCGATTGGTGGGAGTTGTTCATCAAGCTTACTGCAATATCCAAAATCAGTTCTGTTTTCTAAACCTAATATAAAACACTGATTTCCAGAAAAAACTGCGACAGCCGAGCTTGCTTTAATGAGTGTTCCTGACATGTCAACATGGTGCCATATTTGATAGGTTTGAAGTTCATTTAAAACAAGAATAAATTCACTGCCATTTCGGTAAGTTACCCCATCTATCTCTTTCGGCAAATCGGGATAAAAACGAAAAAAAATTTGATTATGGTACCGTTTTCTGGTGTGGTAATTGCAAACTGTGAAATTTGTTGAAAAGTTTTGTTGAAAATTGTGGGTGAAGAAATAACATATGAATTAGATATCGTCTTCATTGGTAAAATGCTAGTGCTATCAGAGGAATGTCTATAATTGTCAATAATCATAACGGACACGTCTCTAGAAGCCTCAATCAACAATGCTTTTTTTTCGATTTCGAAATATGAGAGTGCAATCGAACTTGTAACGTTAATTTCTTTCAGATTTATCGTTGATGTAATAACTTCGTTTAATAGCTGTGTAGAAAACTTCGAAATCAATTTAAACTCAAAATCTTCATCCGATAAAATATATATGGTCTTGGTTTGATTTATAGCATTGGGGTGATTTTTAGTAAAACAGACCAAAAACTTCCGTCCCTGAATACCTGTAAAGCAAATTATAAAAATGTTAAACACGTTAACATACTTTTAACAAGATGTGTTTGTGAAACAGTATGCCACCAGTGGAGTAGGATGTAGACTGAAGTGGTATACACTTACCCTTGACAGCGCAGTTATGGGCCAGGTTAAAGTAGAAAACAGACAGATAGGACAAAAACAATATACCCCCAGAACTCCCAGGATCTTTCTACCCCTGGGCATAAGAGGCTTTTGAAGAAATTAAAATAAATTTAAACGATTATATTCGTTGAAGTACCCGGTACCTGTTTTTCCTGCTGTAGTATAATTCATTCCTTTAAAGGGTTCATTAGGGCAAACCACAGTTTTCTGGTCCTGACCATGAGTATTTGCATTACGACCGATCTTGTGGGCGTCTGTAATGTAATGATATAATTTTAAAAGGATTTGTGTGTATAAAAACCCCACCAGAGTCCAGCATTCGTTCGGGCAAGGCTTTGTGTAGAGGGCAACAATTGATTTGGGAATACGTAAGACACCATGTTACGATGTAATATATGTTAAAATACAATAAACGTCAATAAAGTATAAGAATTTAGTGCATCAAATAAGGAATTCAGATAAAGATACTTACCGTCATTTTCATCTCGACTTTTATTTCTTTCCTGAAGATATAAAACAGTCATCGTTGTACAGCCGATGACTAAAACAAGGACGACGAAGATGACAAGTGATTTAACACAAATCTTCGAAGTATTCGTCCGTTTTGGTTTTCTGCATGTATGCTCTTCAAAATCTCCAATGGAATTCATATTAGTGGTCTTTAAATAAAAAGTTGTGTAAGTCGGGAAGCAGCATTAATGCTGATGAATTGGATTTGATTTCTCACATTCTACTTTGAATTTACCGAATTAAAAAATTCATGAATTTACAGAATTGAAACTTTTATGAAACGCTTTAGAATTTCAATTTTTCTTAATAAGTATTCAGAAAAAAAACTTCTGAAAGTGCAAGGAGGTTTCAATCAAACCCTTTCCAATATTCATAGTTACAAAAATTTATCAATAAAATGAGTTGTTAATGATATGAAATGCTATAGCAACAGGATATTAAACAGAAAATAAAAAAAAAAAACATCATTAACTTCAATTCTTTGTCAAAGCACCTTAAGTAATATTTTTGGGGGGCAAACAATAAAAAATCAATGAAAATAATAGTAGATTTCAGGTTTCCGTATTAGTATTCCCCGTCAAATATAATTTTTGAATCAACAATTTAGGATCTAAGGGAATGTAACACGTTAATATATTTTAAATTAGATCTTTGCAAACAAAACTTTTTTTTTCAAAAAATAAAAGAAAAAAACATCATGTTTTGTCTAGTAGTTATTTACCAGAACTTCATACGGGTTGACATCGCCCATCGTGAAATAATCGTTCTCAAACCGCTGCAAGGAATAAATAAAATGAAAGAAGCCTTTAAAAAAAGTCCTTGGTATCATCAATACTTTTACAATTGCAATTAAGGTACACATTTTTATCCGTTATACGTGATCCGAGATCTGTTTTGTAAAAATTATATTTGAGCCCAAAGTAAGAAAGAAAATGGTAGTTAAATCTTGTTTTTTGGCAACGTAATAATTAAGTAACAAAATAAAGAATATAGAATATGAAAACGTTTTTAAAATATTTTCAATGACCATGTAATGTTAAGGAAAATGGTTATGATGATTGATATACATGTACCTGCTCAAGCTTGTTTTCTGCCATCTTACAATAGTTGTTTTTCCGCGATTTTCCCTAACCTAAACATAATTTTAACTTACATTAGTACATAAATATATAATTTATTTTGGGCTTCGTAAATTTCTATACATTGTATTTATATTGTACAATTTTTTCTGTAATATTGTGCTGTATAAGTAGGATGAGAAAAATATTATATAGGGTTAAAATCAAGTCGGATAACATATTTGCAAAGAATAAAGTTGAAAATCATGTTCAATTATTTTATTTTTACACACAAAAATAGGAAATATATAAGTAAAAAATTTTTCTTTATAAATTTAAGATAATATGTTCTTGTTTTTATTTCATCTGGGAAGAGAAAAAGAAAAAATATCTAACTTGACCTGCACTATAAACAAACCAGTTCTCATATTCTGTGGACTGAAAATGCTATCTATCTATGTAATGTTACAGCAAGGGGGTGCATAAAATATCTCTTAAAAACTAATTACCGGTTTTTAAATCCAGAACATCTTTACTTCAGTTATCTTCATTTTTATGCGCCCTGATCGATTATATTGTTTTTGTCCTGATAGTTCCAAGACATATATTGTTTTTGTCCTGTCTGTTTATATGTCTGTTGTCAACTTGAATCTGCGCCATAACTTTTAAACCATGAGAGATAGAACCTTTATATTTAGTATGCTTAATTCACTAATTAAACTCTTTCAAATGTTTCAAGGCCAATGGCCTTGTTACTTTGCCTGTGACCTACTGTCTATGCTAAAAATTTTTTTTTTAAACTTTCGCCACAATTTTTGACTTCTGGGACTAAAGAGTCTTCATATTTGCTATGCATACTCCACTAATTTAGTTACTTCAAAGGACATCAAGGTCAATGACCTTGTTACCTTGAATGTGACCTATATGCAAAATTAATATTTTTTTTTTTGGAATTTTGTTGCCGTCGCGCGCATAGTGTTTCACAAACACATCTTGTTTAAACACGAGTTTGAGGGCAGTTTTTGTTAATGAAGAGCAAATTGAAACTCTTTTAATTAAAAGAAAAATTGAGCAAGCTCATATACCCCACACTCCCCCAATCTCAAAGTTCTGAAATCCCAGAAAAAAAGGAATCAGAATATCCTGGTAATATGCACATCTACACACTGTCCTAAATACCTACAAAGTTTGACTAACTCTGTGCAGCGTTTTATGAGGAGTTGCGCTGACAAAATGTTCATCTCTATATTCAAGGTATGGACAGAAACCTAAGTTAAAAAGTGCCGAAATTCCCAGAAAAATAAAGGAATCGGAATTTCCTGGTAATATGCACATCTACACACTGCGTCCTAAATATCTCCAAAGTTTGACGAAATTCTGTGCAGCGGTTTAAAAGGAGTTGTGCTGACAAAATGTTCATCTCTATATTCAAGGTATGACAAAAAATCTAATTTGAAAAGTGTGGAAATGACCGGATAAAGTAAAGGAATAGGTATTTCCTGGTGATATGCACATCTGCACATTGTGTCCTAAAAATCTGCAAAGTTTGACGAAATTCTCTGTAACGGTTTATGATGAGTTGCGCTGACAAAAAAACACACACAAAAAAAAACAGGACTGTCTGACTGAATGACACTCTGACGGACGGGTCAGAAACATTATACCTCACGCAACTTGTTGCTTGGGGTATAATTACTGAACGAAATTTCTGTATTCTTTTGAGCACAAGGAAAGAAGACAATTTTTTTGGTGTTCATTTCTCAAAAGTCGCCCTCGTGGTGTGGTGGCTAGAGCGTTCATGTATGCTCAATGGCAACGAAGAATGGAATTGATCCTTACACAGCAGGTTCGAATATCATCGTGTGACGTGAAGACCGGTTCTTCGAATGAGACCGTATATGTCGAGGCGGGGTGTTGCAGTAGGTGTTGGCACGAAAAAAATCTCGCTGCTCAATGGCCCTAAGTGCCGAGTATAGGACAACATTTACAGCTCTCCATTGGCAATTGGTGGCGTCTCCATATAAGTGAAAAGTCCCCGAGATTGATCTTAAGCAATATTCAAGTAATCTTACACCAAAAAGATGAAGAACTCTCATTTCTTAACTAAAGAGAAACGGTTTTACAAAACAAAAAAAAAATCAATTTTACAGAAGGCATAAAGTGAACTGAAATAGATTATAACGAAATGAAAATATCATGAAACTCGGTAATTACATAAGTTTGAAAAAAAAGTCTCATCAATTTTTAAAATTAAATATTTTCTCTTACATTTACTTCAGCAATCCCATAAATGAATTCCTCAAAAGAGCGATTGGATTTGAAAATGGATTAAAAATGTTCCTCAGTTATAAAATATACATATACAAATAATTAAACCAGGAAGATAAATCAGGAAAAGTAGGAAAGTCAAAATTCAGAGCCATTTTTTTTTATATAGAGTAACAACAGATTTCATTTTGTATAAAATGTGAATATATCGCCGTTTCATTGTTTATTTTTTATTTTTCTTTTTTTGATTTGATGTCGGCTTTTTATCTTCTAGTAACAGTTAGGAAGCTTCCTCTGAAGTACTACTTACTCAAAAGAGATTAAGAACTCGAACCAAACAAATAAAAAGATGAACAAAAATAAAGCAAATTTGAAGTAGAATATAAGTGTTTGGGATCGCTATCTACATTTAAAAAAAAATAGATGTACATAAAAACAAATTTTACAAGTAGATGTGCATGATCAGATTTGAGTACTTAGTCTTTAATAGGTTAGTCAAAGTCCATTGTCATGGTACAAATTCCAAATAAGTACATTATTCATGCTTTTTATTATATTTCACTAAAATACCTCACGTATTCACCTAAATTTACATCAACAATTGCTGCACATGCATTAGACAGGAAAAGCATTTTAAAATTTTAAGATCCAATTAAGGTTAGGAGGGCCTGGGAAATTTCTGATTAGATCAAGGACAAATTATTTTCTTCTTCACTGTAAAAGTTTGCCAAGCACCCCCCTCTCTGAAAAAAAAATCTCGCTAGTCCACAAATTTTATATATATTTTCCGGGGCAATTTATTAATTTCTATAAATCTGCCGGCTATATCCTGTTATTTGCAACGCGTTGCATTTAAGTTTTTACCACAGAAAATAATTGAAATAATATACCCGATCCTTATCAAATTAAATTCATTCAGGTATATTTGAGAAAATTATAAGGAAATATTTTTAAGGCGTCTAAGAATAATTAAAATTACAAGTATGAAGCAAATTTATCCTATTAATTCTCTGATTCTGGAAAACGTTGCACGCAACACTCCATAGTAAAATGACCGATTTCTCCATAGAGCGTTGCAAATAACAGGAGTATATAGGGCGACGAATTTTATTTTCCTGATATTGAAGTTATATTATTGTTCATAAAAGTGGAAGTGTCCCCGGGAAGAGGGTTTTCTTGGGGGTTAATATCAGAAAAAATGGGGCTTGGCTTTTTTGGGGTGAATCAAGATGAAAATATAGACATTTGACGGAATAAAGCGCTATTTTATTTTGCATGCGTTGCACGCATCGCTCCATAGTGTCGTTTACTAATAATTGAATTAGAAATTCAAATAATGAGTACACGACAAATTGTCGTGTATTCATTATTTGAATTTCTAATTCAATAATTAGTAAACGACAATAGTAAAATGACCGATTTCTCCATAGAGCGTTGCAAATAACAGGAATATATATAGGGCGACGAATTTTATTTTCCTGCTATTGAAACTAATCAGTGTACATAAAAGGGGAAGTTTCCCCGGGAAGAGGGTTTTCTTGGGGGGTTAATATCAGAAAAAAATGTGTCTTGGTTATTTTGGGGGTATCAAGCTAAAATGAATACATTTGACGGAATAAAGCGCTATTTTATTTTGCATGCGTTGCACGCAACGCTCCATAGTAAAATGACCGATTTCTCCATAGAGCGTTGCAAATAACAGGAGTATATATAGGCCGAGGAATTTTATTTTCCTGATATTGAAACTATATTAGTGTACATAAAAGGGGAAGTTTCCCCGGGAAGAGGGTTTTCTTGGGGGGTTAATATCAGAAAAAATGGGGCTTGGCTTTTTTGGGGGGAATCAAGATAGAAATATTTGACGGAATAAAGCGCTATTTTATTTTGCATGCGTTGCACGCATCGCTCCATAGTAAAATGACCGATTTCTCCATAGAACTTTGCAAATAACAGGAGTATATATAGGGCGACGAATTTTATTTTCCTGCTATTGAAATATATAAGTGTACATAAAGTGGAAGTGTCTCCGGGAAGAAGGTTTTCTTGGGGGGTTAATATCAGAAAAAATGGGGCTTGGTTATTTTGGGGGGGATCAAGCAAAAATGAATACATTTGACGGAATAAAGCGCTATTTTATTTTGCATGCGTTGCACGCAACGCTCCATAGTAAAATGACCGATTTCTCCATAGAGCGTTGCAAATAACAGGAGTGTCGTTTACTAATTATTGAATTAGAAATTCAAATAATGAGTACACGACAATTATAATTGTCGTGTACTCATTATTTGAATTTCTAATTCAATAATTAGTAAACGACAGGAGTATAAGGCCACGGATTTCATTGTTATGTTGTTTTAAACGAAATATTTTCCTGGAAGATGGTTTTGATAGTCGAATATTGAAAAAAAAATGCAATTCATCTGTTCAGTATTTCAACTGAATATATATGAAAAAAAATATATGTTTCTTCTTCCAAGAAATTTGGTTTAACCTCTAAAAAGGATAATATAAGAATATTTATTGGAATAAAATGTGATACCTATCGCAACAAATACAGTCATATATTTTTTTTTTTAACAAATAGATGAAAGTGATGAGAAAATTTTCTATGAATGTTTACAAAATAATATTTACATTTCCAATGTCTTTGTCCGAGATAAAATTACCAATTGTAAATGTAATTTAAGTACTTTTTATTGGCTAACTACATTTTTTCTTTTGCTTTGTTTTTGTGAGTGAGTGTGTTTGTTATTAGGATAGTTTAAAATCATGCGGCTTATTCTGTAAAAGCGTAAAGATCGATAATTTGCCTTTTTCTGATAATGTTGGACTTCATCTTTTCAAATACAGTTGAAGTACCCCAAAACTTATAAGCAACGCGTTGCAGATAACAGGATATAGCCAATCTGCCAACAACTCTACCCTCAGAATTTAAATGTCGTCCCCCAAAACACTACCGGTATTTTTTCCCATTTTTCTCCCTGCGAATTCCAAGTTTGTCCACTTTACTAGTCCATAGCAAAAGTTTGAGAAATAAACGAAGTTCTGCAATTTTTAAAAATTTAAATGTATACTTTGAAAAGTCATGCTAAGTATTTAATATCGCTATTATGTCCTGATGCAAATATACCTGAAACACCCTAAAGATTCGTCGATCTAATCAATACGTACGCCTCACTGCGGGTATGACCGGTTCTATCAATAACGGGGTATAAGATAGTACACCATGATAAAAGCCCCTGTCACAACGACCCCTGAATTAGTGACTACAATAACATATATACTTTAATACCGGTGGTATAATAGTGACCAGGGTTTTCCATGAGCTGTTTTCCGTACACAGTAAAATTTTCTCCGACATAGTAACGATTCAAGTTTTATGCATGCGACCACAGTTCTTTGGATTGCTTTAAAAACCAGAAGTCTCTGTCGAGACTGAAGCTCTACTGGTTTGTAGTTATAATAAAGAAAGAGAAAAGTAGCAGTTGGGATATAAAACTTTACAAAAGCAATGAATGGAATAATGACAAAAACCGATACACAGAATTATGTATATTAGTGTAGTCTACTTGTGTGCCAAGTTATATTGAAATCAGACCAAAACTGTAGGAGGAGTAGCATTTCAAATTATTTCAAAGAAATTTCTTTTTTAAGTAACAACAGCAACACCGTTCATTGAAACAAAAACCTATATACAGAATTACGTATCTTAGTGTAGTCTACTTGTGTGCCAAGTTATATTGAAATCAGACCAAAACTGTAGAAGGAGTAGCATTTTGAATGTTTTTCACAGAATTTTCTATTTTTAGTAACAACGGCAACAATGTTCTTTGAAATCAAAAACCAATATACAGAATTATGTATCTTAGTGAAGTCTACTTGTGTGCCAAGTTATAATAAAATCAGTCCAAAACTGTAGGAGGAGTAGCATTTTGAAAGTATTTTTTTAAATTTCTATTTTTAGTAACAACGGCAACACTGTTCATGGAAATCAAAAACCGCTAACCAGAATTATGTATCTTAGTGTAGTCTACTTGTGTGCCAAGTTATATTGAAATCAGATTTAAACTGTAGGAGGAGTAGCATTTTGAATGATTTTCACAAAAAATTCTATTTTTAGTAACAACAGCAACAACATTCATCGAAATCAAAAACCGATACATGGAATTATGTATCTTAGTATAGTCTACTTGTGTGCCAAGTTATATTGAAATCTGACCAAAACTGCAGGAGGAGTAGCATTTTGAATGATTTTCACAAAAAATTCTATTTTTAGTAACAACGGCAACACCGTTCATGGAAATCATAAACCGATACACAGAATTATTTATCTAAGTGTAGTCTACTTGTTTGCCAAGTTATATTGAAATCTGACCAAAACTGTAGGAGGAGTAGCATTTTGAAAGTATTTTTTTTAATTTCTATTTTTAGTAACAACGGCAACACCGTTCATGGAAATCAAAAACCGCTAAACAGAATTATGTATCTTAGTGTAGTCTACTTGTGTGCCAAGTTATATTGAAATCAGATTTAAACTGTAGGAGGAGTAGCATTTTGAATGATTTTCACAAAAAATTCTATTTTTAGTAACAACAGCAACAACATTCATCGAAATCAAAAACCGATACATGGAATTATGTATCTTAGTATAGTCTACTTGTGTGCCAAGTTATATTGAAATCTGACCAAAACTGCAGGAGGAGTAGCATTTTGAATGATTTTCACAAAAAATTCTATTTTTAGTAACAACGGCAACACCGTTCATGGAAATCATAAACCGATACACAGAATTATTTATCTAAGTGTAGTCTACTTGTTTGCCAAGTTATATTGAAATCTGACCAAAACTGTAGGAGGAGTAGCATTTTGAAAGTATTTTTTTTAATTTCTATTTTTAGTAACAACGGCAACACCGTTCATGGAAATCAAAAACCGCTAAACAGAATTATGTATCTTAGTGTAGTCTACTTGTGTGCCAAGTTATATTGAAATCAGATTTAAACTGTAGGAGGAGTAGCATTTTGAACGATTTTCACAAAAAATTCTATTTTTAGTAACAACAGCAACATCATTCATCGAAATCAAAAACAGATATATGGAATTATGTATCTTAGTATAGTCTACTTGTGTGCCAAGTTATATTGAAATCTGACCAAAACTGTAGGAGGAGTAACATTTTGAATGATTTTCACAAAAAATTCTATTTTTAGTAACAACGGCAACACCGTTCATGGAAATCATAAACCGATACACAGAATTATGTATCTTAGTGTAGTCTACTTGTATGCCAAGTCATATTGAAATCAGACCAAAACTGTAGGAGGAGTAGCATTTTGAATGATTTTCACAAAAATTTCTATTTTTAGTAACAACAGCAACACCGTTCATCGAAATCAAAAACAGATACACAGAATTATGTATCTAAGTGTAGTCTACTTGTGTGCCAAGTTATACTGAAATCAGACCAAAACTGTAGGAGGAGTAACATTTTGAAAAATTGTTTACAGACGGATAGACAGACAGACAGACAGACAGACGGACGGACGACGGACGCATAACTATCGCATAAGCTCTTCTGGTCTCTGACCAGTAGAGCTAAAAAGTCGGTGTAAAGTTTTTTTTTTCAACACCTCATTTTTTTTTCTAAGCGATCTAAAGGCCTGTGCATGCGACATAGTAAAAATGTGATCTAGGCATTTGTAATATACCTAATGTGTATCACCCAATTTTACTGTTGATTTTACGCAATCACGTGATGTCGTGATCCCACTTTCCGAATCACCACACTTTGGTTTTCTGAATCCATATCACCACAATCGCATCATCTCGGGTCTTTCCGTCAGAGGTCGGAAAAACAACCTCGAATGTATTAAGATCACCAGATGTTAAAAATTTATACATTTCCTGTTTATTCAATATAGGATATACGGAGTTAGAAGTCCCTTCTATACTATATTTTAGGTAATATCATTAAATTGAATAAAGTTAAACTCCATATTCTACAGATAAAAAGTCCCCATGCATTTATTTCAAAGATCGTGAAAAGGGAGGGTTGTCATGGCGTCTACCATATACATTCGAGGTCGTTTTTCCACTAGTCGGAAAGGCCCGAGAAGTTGCGATTGCATATCACCACTCTCTGAAACTGATGACGTAGTACGCAAAAACATGACGTTTTTCTTGCGCGTTAAAAAGTCCCTTGTTATTAAGCTTTGCTAAATGGATAAATATTATATAATTGATTATATAATTGATCTCTTAAGTTTTATTTTGCTATATTTAGTTAGTTATAAGGGGGTATCGCGTCTCGTTTGATCTGATGATGATTTTTTTTTATCTGTAAATGAGCGCATAAAAAACCATACTGCACTACTCTGTTGAATTAAAAAAAAAAAAAAAAAAAAAAAACTCTAATGGTAAGATAGGAATGTACGCAATGATTCTCTGTCCAGTCGATCAATGTTTCCATATTCGGAAAAAAAGTAATGAAATTATTCATGAGAGGGAACACATACGTCAGGCAATACTGATTTTCCTGCAAATCCGTGTCCATCGTTTTTTCTATGACCATACACGATTAACCCGAACGCCGCATTCTTTGTCGATTCAACTCTTAACAGACCTCCCTGTACTTGTAAAACAACAACGACAAAGTCCAAATCCCTAAATGTTACGGTTTTATAGAATTTTCTGTCATTCAAGTAATGGATGATTTTCGTTTCGTTCAACATCAAGTTGTCAAGTGATTTTGCTTCAACTATCATAGCGACGTAATTATCTTTGAAGTTTTCAGGAACCATCACGAGATATTTATTTGTATACTGTCTAATTCCTGGTACAGTAATCATGTAAGGGTCCCCATGTCGTCAGACCCAGTGGCAAAACTGGTGACCAAAACCGGTTTTTCTGAATCTATGACAACGACGTCTTGATCCGAAAATATTATTTCAAAATATCCACTGGGATGAAGTATTTTCTCTTTTTGTTCATTTCCAATCTTGTATGTAAGACGAGTTTCGAAAGGAGATATAATTTTCAGGAATGTCCCCTCCCTATTATAGTTAGGTGGGACTATATACATTTTATCCAGTCTATCAACTGGTGGAAGTTGTTCATCAAGCTTACTGCAAGCTCCAAAATCAGTGCTGTTTTCAAAACGTACTTTATGGCAGTGACTTCCAGAAAAAACGGCGATAGCCGAGCTTGCTACAATTAATGTTCCTGACATGTCAACCCTGTGCCATATTTGATAGGTTTGAAGCTCATTTAAAACGAGAATAAATTCACTGCCATTTTGGTAAGTTACCCCATCTATCTTTTTCGGCAAATCAGGATAAAAACGAAAATTAATTTTGATTATGGTACCGTTCTCTGGTGTGGTTATTGCAAACTGTGAACTTTGTGAAGTTTTGTTGAAAATTTTGGGTGAAGAAATAACATATGAATTAGATATCGTCTTCATTGGTAAAATGCTAGTGCTATCAGATGAAAGGATATCATTATCAATAATGATAACGGATGCGTCTCTGGAAGTCTCGATCAACAGTGCTTTTTCTTCGATTTTGTTGTATAAAAGTGCAATCGAATTTGAAACGTTAATTTCTTTCACATTTCTCCTTGGTGCCATAACTTCATTAAACAGCTGTGTAGAAAACTTCGAAATTAATTTAAACTCAAAATCTTCATCCGATAAAATGAATATTGTCTTGGTTCTGTTGTCTACATCGTTGTGATTGCCAGTAAAACAGACCAAAAACTGGCGTCCTTGAATTCCTGTCAAACAAACGTTAAAAATGTTTAAATACTTTCAAATTTTTTTAAAGAAATTTAAAAACATTTAAATAATTCCTTGAAGAACTTGGTACCTGTTTTTCCTGCGCTTGTATAATTCATTCCTTTAAAAGGTTCATTAGGGCAAACCACTGTTTTCTTGTTCTGACCATTAGATTCCACATTAGCACCGATATTGATCTTGTGGGCATCTGTAACGCAATAATCTGGTTTCAAATGGATTGGTGTGTTTGAAAAACCCACAATCGCAGGTAACATACCGGGGTACTATACTCAACAAAAAAAGAAACGCATATTCAGAATAATATAAAAATCTAAGTTTTCAGTTTAAACCTTATTCTATTTAAGCAATTTTAGAGTGTGTTGTGATAAAAATCAAACATGTCCTACGTTGCAAAATGAAAAGTCAAGTTCATGTCATTTTTATCGCCCCCAAATTCAAGGGGCATAACAATATGTACTGTGCGACGTCTCAACGCTAGTGGGTTTCCAATGTACGGATGTCGTGGAGGAATACCATCTCCTCTTAGTCTCTTGCGAACAATTTATGCACTTTTATGCTGATTTTTTCATCCAGCAATTGTAGCAGCAGTTTTACAGCAAGTTCTGAATCGCACGAGGTGCTGAAGGGGGGGGGGGGTCTGACGGTCCTGCCTGGGTGTGGTTACCTGCGGACGGCCAATGGTCTTCCTACGTTAGTTTAAAGGTTACAAAGCCCATTGATGTATTTCTAATGAAGTTGCAACTTCTTGTTGCGTAGCTCCGTTTAGTATCATCGTTAGCTTGATTGTGTTCATCTTTGTTTTGGCGTGGCATTGCAGCTTCAACACTGCAATCAAATCTTAAAAATGGGTTAAATAGGAGTTTTAATAGTTCCTCTTAATCCAAAATATCAACGAAAATAGACAACCGATTTTAAAGAAATCAGGAAAAATACTACATTCATAAAAAACTTTTAATCAAGCGAGATAATTCAACACTTGGGTTTTAAAACCACATGATGTCCTTTAAATAGGTCACAGGTATCCAATGATATAAAATATTGTTGTTCCAAGTACATTTTAAAAATTTCTTTGACGAGTAAAACAATATGCGTGTCTTTTTTTGTTGAGTATATATTTGAATATATATTTGAATTTACGTATAACAATGTATACAAATATGCAAATAGGGAAAGTAAACAAAATGTACACAGGGTTTATATCGGAAATGTTTCGTATTTCATTGAAAATAGCACGCAGAGAATAAAATTACAACTAAAATCATTTTACAACTAGATATCATCGAGATGGTGGCCATCTCAAAAGCCCTGCTTTTAGCAATGAACATGAAAATGTAATGTAGCTGAAAAAAGGGTTAATTTTGAAGGTGTTTAAGATTAAAGGGGACAAAAAGTAACTAGTCCCTGAAAAATAATACATTAAAAAAACAAAGGGGAGAGAAGACAAGCCCCGGACAAGCATTTTCTTATATTAATACTAATAATACTAATATAATTCTGCTATTTCCTTCACCTTAGACCTAGAAAAATGGTTCACAAACACTGTACACCCTTTACCCAAAGGCACTCTGTGAGTGAAGTATGAGCCACATTGAACAGATCCTAGGAGAGAAAATATGCTCCAGACAAGGATTTTTCATATTATTATGCTTTGACCTTTAACCTAGAAACATGGATCATGGATAACCAAAGGCACTCTTTGGGTGAAGTATGAGTCAGATTGGGTCAGTGGGAGAAGAGATATGCTCTGGACAAGGATTTTTCATATATTTCTGCTTTGACCTTGACTTTTGACCTAGAAACATGGTTTAAGGTCACTGCACACCGGTTACCCTTAGGTACTCTGTGGATGAAGAATGAGCCAGATTGGTTCCAGGGGAGAGAAGATATGCTACGGACAAGGATTTTAAAAATAATTCTGCTATGACTTTGATCATTGACCTAGAAACATGGTTCAAGGTCACTGCACACCGGTTACCCAAAGGCACTCTGTTGGTGAAGTGCGAGCCAGATTGGGCCAAGGGGAGGTAAAATATACTCCGGACAAGAGATCTCGGATGGATAGCCGGACGGACAGACTGATTACTATAGGGCGCCCGCCGAGCGTGGCCCTTATAAATATTCTTTGAAAAAAACTGAAACCTTAATATATCCTTTAAGCTGGGTTTACTCACTCGATATCCAATGGTGCGAATCCATGTACTTTAAGTCGTGTACTAAAAATTTAATTTAATTACTGTTGATTTTTTTCGTTCAAGGGAAGGACCGAGCTGAGAACAGACGACATTTTGAAAAACCATGCAACTTAGAAGGCGAAAAGCTATCAGTCAAATCTTTTCTTGAAAAACGCTGTTGACCAATTACATCCCACGTTAAATCTTCGGTGCAATGTTGAGAAAATTTAGTGGACGATTTTAACTACATCACTTGAATGACCGAGTATGGGATTTGCAAAACACGATATAAACGATTCCTGAATGGCTATGATAATTTAATTTATAAGTAACTAGTGCTAATTGTAACGGGAACCGTTACAGATGTTCCCCAAGCGCCCCCAACTCCCTTTTGGTGCCATATTCCTTGTAAGCCTCATTAAATAAGACAACATCTGTGCATTTTTGACTTTGAGAACGTTTATCCAAAAGGATACCAATTATATTCAAATTTTAACATTGAACGCGTGCCCATGTGCATACACGTGTGCGATGATCATATAATCTTGTCTACACTTTCTATATATTTAGATATACTTTATATTAAAGCATTCAGTCCAAAAGTATTAAAAAATCACTCATTCAAGTGTATTTTTAATTTCACTCGTTCCAAATGCATGCACATGCGTGCACGTGCATGATGACTATACTTTCTTGTAGGAGGCCCTGATATCTATCTATGTTCTAAATCCCATCCTGTTTGGTTGAAAACCAAGGGAGTTATAACCATTCCAAGTTTCAGCCAATCAGATTCGACACACGTGCATCCACGTGATTTCAAGAATTTCTTTCTAAATCATATTGTAGAATATCCTTATGCATGACTTTGTTTTAGATTTCTAAGCATTTCGTCAAAAAACAAAGGAGATATAGCCGTTTAAAGTTTCACCCAATCAGATTGCAGCACACGTGCATGCGCGTGATTTCTTGCATTTTTTTGTATATCATATTGCAGGATATCCTAATGCATGACTATGTTTTAAATTTCAAAGCATTTCGTCAAAAAACAAAGGAGATATAGCCATTTAAAGTTTCAGCCAATCAGATTGCAGCGCACGTGCATGCGCGTGATTTCATGAAATTTTTTCCATATTATGTTGTAGGATATCCTAATTCATGTTAATGTCAAAAATTTCAAAGCATTTCGTCGAAAAACAAGAGATATTGAGATTTTTGTTTCAGCCAATCAGAGCAAGGCGCACGAGCATGCGCGTGAGTTCGTGCGAATTTGACAGTATCACATTATCTACACTACTAATCTATCCTTATATAATGAGTTTCAAATCTTTTCATCAAAAAATGTAAAAGTTATAGCTATATTAATTATATCAGTCAATTCACTCATTTCACGCGCACGCACGTGCATGCGTATGCGCGCAAAATGACCTTCGTTCCGCACACCTACACTACACACCTATTAACCAGTGTTTTCAATAAGAGCCGGCAACCGGCAAAATTAACCGCCTGTACGAGAAATTTTGCCGGCTATGAAATTTCCGTCATTAAGATTTTGCCGGGGCTGATACGTGAAATCCATAGATTTTGTCGCAACTATTTCCATGATTTAGAGTAGCTTCCGTTGAGTGCGCTCTTTTTTTATGGAAGTTTGGTTAGATCGATCGTGTTATGCAATGGCGGCGCGGACAACGAATATTTGAGCGAAGTCGTGGAGAAACGTGCTGTTGCTGCTGTAACACATGCGTTTGAGATCACATACATTAAGAGGCATAAAGAATGGTCCCTTCCAAAAAGATTTGTTTGTGTTTTATAATTTTCGATTGAAAATTGATTTGTGCGGCAGCCTTAATATTAAGTGAAGGGTTCCCCGGTGAAAAAACGGCAAATAAATATAATTTTAAGCCCTTACGAAAAATGTTGAATTCTTACAGAATTTCCTCAAACTGAAAATCTCAAGTGTTAAGCTAAGACGTAATAATTACGAATAAAAGTCTTAATATTTTGATCGTGACTCAGACGTACATGTAGAAATATTCTTACAGAATTTCCTCAAACTGAAAATGTAAAATTTTATTCTCATTTATTCGTGTAAAGATATCTTGAAATACAGGAACAGTGTCATTTTCACATTTGGGAAGGTTTTAATGTACTAGTATTTTGTATCAAATTCCATTTTCTTAATTATTTTGTTCTGACAATCTGTACATAATGAAAATGCCAAAGTATAAATAAGTTTTAAAATTATTTTATGAAACGTCTAAGATTGCAGAATATTTCAATTTTTGGAGGGTACTGTATATCACCAAGTGTTAAAAAAAAATACATTTTTAACTAAATAATTTTTTTTTTGAATTTTGAATAAAAGACCTGACTAATTTATGTGAAAGGGACAAATATGTAGAATTTTCAGTATAATATTCTACCACAGACAATTGTCTGTACTAGAATTTCATACTTTTAAGTTGTCTATATGTTTGTATAGACACTTAGTTTTCAGAAGAAAAAAAACTCAGTCTGTCAAAAAACTGTCAAACAAATCTGTGAAAAGGTAAAAAAATGTTTCTAATTGGCTTTTTAAGGTAAAATTTGATAATTGATAGTGACAGGAATGTGAAAAAATGGTACTTTTTTAATAGTCTGAGAGGTAAGAAAATGAGTCAAAAATGCTGATTTTCGTTTTCGGCCGGGGGGGCTTTGCCCCCCTGGGCCCCCTCCCAGGGCTCTGCCCTGGACCCGCTGGGGGCCTAAGGCGGCCCCCAGACCCCTCGCCTGGTTTCCTGCTATTCCTTCTATTTTTCCTTCTATTGAAAATCTTATTGAAAACACTGTATTAACCCTAAAAAGGTTTTAGCTCAGTTGGGTGAACAGTTTCTGAGAACACTCGCGGACAAAAAAAGTACCGGAGAAGAAATAAGAAAAAAAAAATAATAATAATAACTAGATAAGAAACTCGTTGCGAGCAACGAGAGGTCTTCCGTCCGATTCCGAAAAAACCCCCCGCAAAATCGAGCTGAAAAAGTGATAAAACTTTATGGAAACAAAGGGGATTGAACCCGGGTCGCCAGCATGAAAATCCAAAGCGCTTA